AGAAAATATTTAAAATCAAATTTACAGTCCAAATCAAGCGTTGGGTTTGCAAAAATTTGGCTCCACTAGGTTAATGATCATTTTTGTACGATTTGTAAGACTAAAAATTAATTGTTTATGGAACCTAAAAAAATTCATATCTGTTTATGTTTCGATGATGCACAGTCAAACTTTTATGTATTTACTCTTGTTATTATGAATTAATTTCGATTACCGATCTAATTTTTTAATAATAAATTAATTAATCTATTTCTAATTTTTTAAATATGCATATTTGTGTTAATATCTGCAATAGTTTTTTTTACTTAAGAAATTAGATAATTTTCTTATTTGACTGTCGCTGTGTCAAAATATTAGATACTGAAAAATTTATAAAATTATTTAATTTATGGTAATGAAAACAATTTAAGATTAAACTTCAACAGTAAGTTGTACTTTGAGTAATGATTTGCCACCAGAAGATTAATCAATATATTTTTCCATTTTTTAATCAAATGATGATCATGTGAACGAAGGTGATTACAACTGAATTGTCGAAAAAATTATAATTTGTGAGAAGAAACACCAGAAAAATTTAAATATCAAACATCTAACCTATTGTTTATTTTCACTTTTTATGCAAATACAATAAGAATGTAACTTTATTAGTAAATATAGTTTGTTCAGTGTCACTTTCCATGCAAGTTGGCTAATATTAATATAATAAAATAAGACAGCTATTAGGCGGCTCTCTTAAAAATATGAGGTTAATACTACATATTTAATCAGACACGACATTGAATTAATTTGTTTTATTTTTGAGCAACATTTTATTATAATGTGCTCTACAGATTTAAGAGTACTATCAATAAAATATATATTCAAACACTTTCCTAAAAAATTTCCATAAATTTCAATGTCACGTGTTGGGTTAGAATGTTACTAATCGCATATTTTTAAAAGGTCTCTCAAAAGCTGTATAATACCAAAATTTTAGATTCCTTCTTCATTTTATTTCAATATGGATCATAACCACATTCGTATAAATTGAGAACTCTGCAAATAACAAGTAATAAATTAATGTAAAATGAAATTATATTAATATTTCATTCAGCTTTTTTTGAAACAGGAACAAACGTTTCTTGATCGATGAATTTTTAGTTTCAAAAATCGTTCAAAAGTGACTTGTCTAAATGCGAACTTCCTTCAAATAAACTTTACTTTTTCTATTATGTCTTTACTAAACTGCAAATGTTTATACAAACTTATAGTTTCATCAAATATTTTCTCTTTCATGTTGTTTGTATACTTTTTGCGAGACCTAATAGGTTATGAAAGCAGAAACAACCATAATTTAGTTATTATTTCAATAATATTCTTTCCTACCTATAATTTCAAATTATTGAAAAATCATAGCAAAATTATTTTTCATTCATTGATTCGTTAATGTTATTTAAATCTAATTAAAATAATGCTAAGGTAACAAACGATACCTCGCACAAAATGCTCAGTAAACTCCACTTGTTCGCATACCCTCGTAAACGGATGAGAAGAAAACGAATAGGTAAAAAAAGTCATGTAAATACGTGACCAGACGCGAGATTCTACGGACTGACGGAAAAGAATAAAATATAATGAAAAGAAAATTAACTTTTTATATCTAAGTAAACACGTATTGTACGCGTTAACACACGCCATTTACAATTATATATAATACGTCTATGTATATTTAAAAACGTAGGAACTCTGTATGTCCGCGTACGCTCAAGATATCACAGCTAAACGACATTAACGACTTTTCGCCTGTTTACGTTAAAGCTACAATAAATAAGTTTAACAAATCCATCGTCTTTTTCTTTTCTTGGCGATTAAATCGATGACTTCTCATACGTTATGAAATCTTTGTCGTCATCAAGCTTTCGTATTGTTCTATCGCTCACGATTGACTGAATATCGATTTGAATTATCGTATTGATTGCGTGCAATGCGAGGAACAACAATCTAAGATACTTTATTAACACCAGAATAATCATCAGACTCGTCAGTGTGATAGACTCAAAATTTCTTATTTTTAGAATATAGAAATTATGAATATATAAACATTTCTTTATATATTAATATGATTGTGCACCTTTCATTTTTGACACCGTATAATGAATGTAAAGCCTGAGCATGACGGTATATCGATTATATACATCAATTAGACATCGATGTATGATGTGGTTGTTTTTGAAGCGAGCGCGAAGAGTGATCGTTTTGAGTTAGTCGCGAAGACAATTGTAATAAATAATTTATTCATTCGTTATTAAGATTTTGTGAATTACGGTGTACTCTGAAGATTATTAAATCCTGATATTATTTTTACTTCTGTTCTTTCATTTTTCGTTATCCTCTTACAGTTTGGTATCAATTTATGAAGGAACGTAGAAATAATTATATTTGAAATTTCATATGTTATGTTAATATTCGTCTATCACAGTAATTGGAAACTGTGTCCGCAAAAGTGCGAGGCATACATTCACGGGCACTGATGGATAGTCAATTTCTCAGTATCTAAATTTTTAACTTTTCAAATTACCGAAGGTATAAATTTACTTAGTACAAAATTTGTAAAATTATAAATTTGTAAATTTGAAACTTTCTAATTTCTGAATTTCCTAACTTTCATCTGAGTTTCAAATTATCTGATTTTTAAGTTTTAACTTCTCGAATTATCAAATTTATGTATTTCACAAAAAAATGTATGTTTATAGATACTAAACTTCTTACTTTAAAATTTTTAGCTTTCCAAATTTGAAAATATGGTATTTTTAAATCTTTAAATTCCAAATTGCTAAACTTCTAAATTTTTACATCTTCAAGTATCAATTTTAAAGTTACTGGATTTCTAAATTTTTACGGATAACATTTCAATAGTTTGGAAAGTTAGAAATTTGAAAATTTGAAATGATTATGTTTCTAAATTTCTCGCATTGCTAGTTTCCAAATTTATAGATTTGTAAATTTGAAAATTTTATACGTCCATATTTTCAATTTTCAGTATTTTAAAGTTTAAAAATTCCATATTCCAAATTACCAAATTATTGAATTCCTAAGTTATTAAGTTTGAGAATTTAAAAATTAATCTATTTGAAAATTTTGAAATGCGAAAACTTGAAATGTCTATGTTTCTAAATTTTCTATTTCCGAAATTCACAAATTAGTAAAATTGTAATTAAAGAATTTCATATTTTATAAACCTTTGAATTTAAAAGTTTGAAATATACGTTGATTTTTTATACCACCTTACTACCCATTGTATTCACTAATCTATCACCCACTGATCTAATATTCATAACAACGGTAAAGTTTAACTAACATATTGAACTTCAATAGAGAACAATGCCAATATTAAATACTGGTAATTATATTAGCATTAAAAACTACGAGCGATGGGCAAATTGCCAAATTTTTATGTTAAAAAACGGAAGGTTTTGTGACATTATTTGGATTGCAAAGTCTTCAATACTTCTGTGAAGTCTCATTTAAAATAATTGAAATCAGTAGCAAATATAAATTATGATTTTTCATTATTGAAGTGAAAACTTATAATAATTTTTGTCATTATGTAATTAAACAAAAAAGATGTTTGTTGACTGAGATGCAAAAGAATAGTTAGGCGAACTTTAATGAAAATATGGTGCGTCCATTACAGCAGACTTACAGCTTGACTATTTTTTACTTTCTTTTCAATAAACAGATTATATCTATGACTACCAATCAGTACTTTAGAATCATCCTTTGATTCATGGTTTACTCTATTTCTTTTTCGTGAACTTTATAATCAATCAAATTTGCGGATAGCGAAATCCGACTGCACATATGACAATTTACTCTTTATGAATAAAATATATCAAAACATATAAAAATTATGGATTTAATAATTTTATATTTCGTCATTATTTATTTATAAAATAAATATCCAGATGCGTATTTTGTTTTGTCATGTTATTTAATGTCCACAGCGTAGTATACTCAGAACAATTTTATTTTAAGTACTGGAGATCTTTATAGCTGAAAGCTATCTTAGTTAATTAATTATTTAAGTAATAAATAACATATATACTATTCATACTATATTAAGGTAGTAAAATCAGATACATTGGACTTTGATTATTCTGCTGTTACTCATTTATATGATTTTTTTAGCGAGCAAATAAATTCTCTCATATTCTATTCAATTCTTATAGAATTCTTATCTCCTTTGCCACGCATTGATTACGTTTTAATACGTTGGATTATTCATTATCGATTTTCTGTTTCAATCGTTTTATCGCCTTGCACGAAGAATCTTATTAGTGTTGTTAGCTATTCTAGTTATTAAGTATGTTATTAAACATAATACTGTTTCTGAAGTACACTTCTTAATACTGGTCTCTAGTATACAACTCGATTTTCAATAACAATCAAAATGCACCAGTTGTCAAAATTAATACGATAATTTCTTCACACGATTGTCATTCTCTTCTAATTCTATCGTAAAACTCTTAACACTATCTCATCGGAACAAACTGGCAAGATTGCAAAATATTAAGCATCTATAATCGTAATCAGGAAAGAAATAAAAAAAATGTATAAATCCATGATTGTTCAAATAATGGAAAACCTTTTCCTAGGGAAGATCGACAGGCGTACTAGATTTAAATAATAAATAAACGTCAAAAACATAAATAAAAAGGTTATAAAACAAAATAATACATAAAGCAGGTCTGGGCAACTCGTGCAATTAAGTCACGTTTTAAAGGGCAACAGCTATAGTCAGGTGACAAAATGTAAAAAGTATTAAACATTTCACATTAAAATGGACGTGGAAAGTCTTTCTATTTTCTTTAACACTAAAACATCCATACCTATCAAAATTTCTTATTTCTTACAATTATTAATGATTATTTCTTGTAATAAATAATTCTCATTTCTAGCAACGTGTACAATTTAATAAAATAATTCTTATTATGTAGAAATTAATAAGATTCTTTATGTCCACCGTTATTTTTTAATTAAATGTAAGTGTAGATACGCTTGTTTTAGTGTTAATGGCTGTGCCCGAATCTTTATCAGACATTAATCTAAACGTCCGCAGACAGCACTGACTTGATATAATCAAATGAATCTCAAATCGTTTAGGTAAACTATACATAAAGATGGATACCTTAAGTATGCGTAAAAATGCTTTATAAAATAATACTTGCAAGAAATTGTAAAATGTAACTCGCCGAAGATGCAGTCGTAATAATAGAGAGTTCCTTGTCGCAAAGTGTGGTTGCCTGTTAACCCTCCCTTCAAAATAATTGATTGATCTCGCATAAATCGAAAGAAGCCTTGTTAGATTAATTTCATCACACTTCTATGAGCTTCTTTTGTTTGTTTCTTAGCAGTCTGTTCCTCGGAATACCCTTTCGTGATCCCTGAGGCAAGGAACTTTTCTGGCCACCGCCTACTGGATGCTTCCTAATTGGCTTGTTTTGCTTCTTAATCTTCGATATCCTCTTACCCTTTGGCCCGGATCCTTTGTTAATGTTCTTCGCTCCTGGGCGTTGCCTGGTGGGGTCACAGGTGCCCGGCCCTGGCGCGGTTGCATTACGAAACGCTTCGGTCCAAGCTTTCAGAAACGTCTGATACAATCTAATAACGCCCCAATCCTGAATCAACATCAAGGTTAAATCACCTTCCTTAGCCCAGTTTGAACTCTCCGTGACAATTTTGGCCGTGTGAGCGGTCGGCACTTGTAGACCTAGGTTTAAAATGGCGGTCTCCACTTCGCACAGAACCTGAAATGACAAATACGACATTGAGATTATGCAGTGTACGCGAAAATCACTATTCATGATCTTCACGAAACTGTGACAATTTTAATAATTAAATATTATCAATACACTTATAACAGCACAATTTTTGTATCTCTTTTTACATAGAAAATCATCGGAATATTTTTACTAGTTATTAGTATTTATGACTTAATCATTAATTACTGGTTTTTATGATTTTCAGAACCAGAGAGATTTTAAAAACTTTGCTCAGGGACAAAGTATGTAAAAATATGTTCTTTAATCTTTTTTTATACGATTCAAAATTTATTTGTAGATTATATCTTCAACATTTTTATTCAATAGTAGCCTAAATAATAGCTTTCATTATAAAGGAGAAATATAAAAAATATTATAATCGAATAAAATTAATATATACTATTCATACTAGCAAAAGTAGTAGTTTTATTTTACAATATAAGTAAATTTATTTTTTTCTGCTGCGAATTTTTTTTCATGAGATAACAGCATATGTCCATTCATCGAGTAGGAAGTCGACTTTAATGAAACTTTCAGGAAATGTAATAGCTTGTTTTCTCTTAGTAAATCGCGAGTCCACGATACTGCTTTCCTGAAGCTATTATCAACTATTCACAGTTTTTTGCAGTTATAATATAAATATAGATGCCAAATAAATTGATGCATAAAGTCGTGTTACTTTTATTCAAGTATTTTTTTTAATGCAAAGTATATTTATATTTTATGTACATAATGTAGTATATCATCGTTTACCTTAGAATTTCCTGGATTACAATCTTATTTTTAATGATTATTGAAATGGTTTGTAAACTATTAAATATTATTGTAAAAGGTATTGAAAAAATGATATTAATGCCGATATAGTAAGAAAATAACGTCCAGTTGTACTATTATATAATTTAGTTGAAACAACAATTTAAAAACAAAATGGAGAAATTTGCACCACCATTCAGATCTATAGCCTCATCAGACTATTTCTTCCTGTATCCTTTTAACTTTCAAAAAATTTCAACAGATTTTAATTTCTACGTTAGAAATTCTTCATATCAATGTAAAGAAATCTTGAATCATCAAATCTAGCTCTGGTGGAAAAGTCATAAGCACTAAATAATTCCGAGAACAATATGTCTCGGGGTTATGCATCAATCTAACGTATCGAGTAGATGTAATACGGTATTAAATGTTTCGTACCCTGAGAATCTCATTGTGCATTTGATTAATGATCTCGTTTCTCCTGTTCATTGTGAGATCAACGTTAATGTTGGATTTCAGACGGAAAGCTCTGAGATGATGGAACGTGATGGCGAACCTTTGAAGCGAATCGTGAAGATGCGGTAACGCACGGTCAGCTTTCTTTCCCTTTTCGAGACACCAAACCTCCCTAGAATACCACTCGAGTTCCTTCTCTGGGAGCCAGGGCATTCTGTACTGCCCCTTCAGCACTTTGTACACCTGCGAATGAAAGTCGAGATAGTGTTTTAATGTTAACAATGTACTCTGCGCTATCGTTTCTTCGTAATTACGCAAGTACTTTTATTCAAAGGAATTTCGATTGCACAAATGCGAACCTATTTTCAACAAAGTTGTTTGATTTACACATTTTAACAAACTGGTTTTTTACTTTATTTCTCAAAACATTAAAACATTCAGTACGTTTATCGATATTGGTTCGTCGACGTTACAAAAATTCGAGCAAATAATGTTGACTACAAGATACTTCTAAATGTTACTAAGGTCATATCAAACATTTGAAATTAAAAATTAAAACATGATAACAGAAAATTAATTTTAATACCTTTAACGTGTTTTTTTTGTATTGTGCATTCGATCTCCATATTATCCTTATGTAGATTAGTTTATACATAGATATATGATATTTATGTGGATTAAAAACAATAATTTCAAATTTCCGACAAATTATAATAAAAAATTTATAATTGATCATCAGTACATATAACTTTTTTTTTTCATATTTTTACAATGATACAATCTGAATCATTCTATATGAACTTTTCGTAAAATCCGGAAAACTTAAAGTTGTAAATTGCATTTAGAGTAAAAACTTGCATATTTTTCGGTGCAAAACTACTTTTTATGATTTCCTCTTACTTCACAGAAGATAAAGATTTTGCTTACTTTATTTTTGTTCAGATAACGTTCATGGAATGTAATTGTTTAACACTTTCGGAAATTCGTGAAAACGACAAATGTAAATTCCATATATTAAATTGTAGAAATTATTAATGTTTTTGTCAAAATGTATGCTAACTGTAGTTGAAATAAAGAATCATTGTATAAGTTAGGTTACATATCACCCTTTATTTACTTACTTTTCTACTTTAGTTACAGTTTAAAAATAGGTAATCGTTTAACGTCAAAAAAATCCACTATTAATGTTTTAAACTCTCAAAAAAGGACCTAAATTTGTAGCACGAAAATAGTGACTCATTCGTGAAGTATTCGAATTCTTATATGTATCATACAAAAACCAGTATGTAACATGAAAAACATCGGTCAAAATATTTTGATTAAATGCTTAATAAGATGAATATGTCTTTTATTGATCTGTGAAACTGTGAGATACTACTGAAGAGTTAAATAATTTTAAAAAATTTTATTACATGAATAATTAAAGTATTCAGAAAAATGTATATACAGGGTGTTACCTGTAACGCTACTCACGATTTTTTTCCCACTTGCAGCCACCTTACGAAAAAAAGTTTAGAATAAAATTTGCAGGGTATGAAGTGCACAATAGATATTAGTAAAGCAAATTTTGAAACCAGTTTGTTCTCTTGACAAAGTCAAGGTCACCTTGGGTTTCTTAAATAGGAACATCCATTTTTTTTATTCATAGCTTTAGAGGACATCGAGACGAATTCGAAACGTATATTACATTATATTTTTATTAACATATTACTCGATTTACAGAAGTGGAAA